CTGTTACAAAAAGTAGGTCTGACAGTATTGTGAGGTATTTTAAAATTATATGTTTGTAGAGGTATCTATAATAAATTTGTACAAAAACATCTTTCTTCAATTCTTTTACCATATTCAGCTTCAAAAAGTTATTTTTAAACAAATTATTTCTATTATTATGCATAGTGTTTTACTGTAATATCAATCCTACGCTACTCTTGATGTGACTCCAAAGTACCTAGACCATCACTCTAACACTATTTATACACATGCAGATCTACAATAAAAAATAATTGCTGTGTGTTTATGTGCATATTGTGGACACGATATAAATTATTAAAAATTTGATAACAATTAGTAAAAATATAAATTTACATAAAACACACACCACCAGTTTTACTGTTCTGTTTGTTCTTGCACGTACAATGGGATTATTTATCAGAATCATCTTTAGCATTTTGGTAAACATTGCGACACTTAAAACTTTATATACTCCATTGGTATTCCTCAATATTTTGTTCAAAACTTATTTTTTATGTCTTGCAAAATAGCAGAGGTAGCAAAATCGTGGCAGGTGGCAAGAATGACAAGGTCATCCGTCAAGACGGATGTTTATCCCGGGATACCGACGGAGCTTTTAGATCCTCAACGCGGCAGTTTTCCAATTTTCATTTGCATTTTTTTAAGTGTTGTGCAACGATTTCGGCAAAAATTTCGCCACGGATAGTCTTCTAGAGTCTAGTAGAATACATTTCAACAGTTGTCTTACGTGGCCATGTTATCTTTACTCGGACCGATTCTTTTACTGTTCCGAAAATTTCAAATAGTTAGATATATGGATGATTTTATAATGGCCTGTGTTATTGACTCTGGTGCTCTAAGAGATAAGTGACTACTTATTTGTCAAAACAGCAAAAATATGTTAATATCACATGTCGTTATATAATCTTCCTTATATCATAATGTCCAAGAGTCTCAGATTAATGCAAAGAGCCGGCAACGTCGCATGTGGCGTTCGTGCACAATCCTGTAACCACAAAACATATACACTGAAGAAGGTTTAATTCCATGCTATTAAATGGCAACACGCTGACTCGTATAGTTGTCAGCGGCCATTTTTTGAGGATGCGACATGGTTGCCAGATTGTACACGATTGTTAGCCAACGTTGCCAGCTCTATGGATAAATCTGAGGACGCTTTACTTTTATATCTATATTTTGAGAATGAGAAATCTTTTAACGGCGTGTGTTGACATTTAAGGATATTTTAACAAATAAATTATCTGTTAAGATTGCAAAGTTTGTAACACACGCCTTTATAAGATGGATGAAAAGTCACCCCTAAGAATGGTTCAATAAAGACAAAAAATGCTGTAAGTATTTTATATATTGAAATAAACAAACATATAATTGTATATGATAGTACAAACAATAATATCGGATAATATACATTATCTTCATCCCAGTCTTCAATGGCATATGGTACCTGGTAATATAGAAATACAGAAATTAGAAGAGTTGAAAGAATGTAACAGACAGAATGTTAATTATTTTAGTTACTAAAATTACTAGAGTTTTCAGATTTAATTTTTCAGTAAAACTATGATACCTGAGTACCCTAGCGTAACAAGATTTCCACACCACCCAAGAGGTACTGTTTTGGCGCGTTACCGTTTATTAATGTGGTGGTTCGCCAAACAAATAAAATGAAAGTAATTGAGATTTAAGTTAAGAAAATGAATTAATAAATAACAAGGCCATATCGTCCACACAATAAAAATAATTAACATTCTAGCATTTAAAGTAAAACAAAATGTTGATATCACAGCGAGAGCAGTTCTCAAAACAAAATAAGATTTTATTCAATAACAAAACAACAAAAACAAAAAAGGGCAAAATCATAAAATTAATCATTTTTTAAATATGCAGCTAAACACAAATCAATGAAAATAAATCACATATTATTCAATAGCTGCTGCTAGCTTTATCTAACTACTATAAATTATTATCACAGACTATCAATAATATCACAGCAAATTTACCGAGAAGGTAATTTTTAATTGCAGAATTTTCAGAGAAATTAAGGTGAAATAATTATGCTGAAAGCTGTGACAAACCCTTTAACTTTTTCACCTTCTTCCAGTGACTATCTACATCACTTCGTTTATAATTTTTCTCTTTGGCATACTTGAATATAGTTAATCTAATACATTTTGCAACAATTTCATGCTGTGTGCAAAATTTTAATGACTCTATATAATCTCTGTTCTGCATTTTGAAATTATCTTCAAGTTTTTCCAGATGACCAGTTTCATTAAGATACTGGTACAGTTTTATGTGTGGTTCATCCAGTATCTGTAAAAGTTGGTCATTGGCGTATGTTAGGCGTTGCTTAGTACCTATCTCTTTAAAATGCACAAAAATCTTGCCCATCGACAAATCTTTAGAAAATAATGAATGTCAAGCTTCATAATTTGGGACATTAACACATTTTTTAAGAGCCATCCGGCTACATAAGGTGTTCCTGGGCTGAAATTGTGATTCTCTGATTGAACCACTGAGTGATTCCCAGTCTGAACATTTTTGACCTCAACATCTGAACCACAATCTGAACACCCTTTTGACTGACGCTTAGAACAATGTTTTTTTAGGAACCTTCTAAAATCTCCTATTGCTGCACAGTGGTCCTCCTCAGAATTTCCATTCCTCGCTAAAGGAGTACTAAACTTGTTGATCACAATAGTTTTTAAAGCGGCTAGGAATTGATGACAGGAGGGATTTCAATTACACACTCCATGCTGTCTTATTTGGCCAAAGATGTTTTCTATAGGGTCTTGGTTCAAGTTTCTCAGAAACCTTTAGCTCTCAGACACTCCCAAAGCATTATTACAGCTTTAATCGTAATCTGCCATCCATCAATAAATTTATAACTTCCCCTTTCAAGACCTGTTCCTGAATCAATCACCCTCCATTTATTGATTTCGCATAGCATGCTTTTCCAAAAGTCTAAATGGGGTGAATCATCAGAGAAACAACATTTGTACTTTTTACCACCCTCAGCAGTAATTGTTGAACCATTCAGCGAATCGATTAAATCATCAATAGTGCTGGAAAATTCAGCAGTATGCAGTGATTCTACAGGCAAATCCCCTAACACAGAAAATGTTTCGATAACTGCCGACACAGAATGGCTTAGTTGTTGAGCAGCCACTTTAACTTTCATCTTCATAAAAATATTTTGAAAATTGAAGTACTCTGGCCGCAGTTTTGGGAGCATCCTGTATGTTCTCTTCTCCTGATCTAGATTATAAGCACCAGCAATGTACTTAAATCTAGCAATTTTACCGCGTTCAAATTCGATACCATTGCTTATTAAGGCATTCCGAGTGTTCTTCAACAAGTGTGGAACATCACATATTGTTACAATCTTCTGCCCATTGACAACAACGTGATAGGCCTATCCCGATTTTCAGCACACAGAGCCTTGAGTGCAGCTCTACCAGGGATATCTTTTAAGTTTTGCATATGGAAATAAAACAACACGGTAGGTAGTTTTAAATGACTTTATTGTTTTTCGAAGTATTCTCTACGAAGATTAATACACATCTTGCATGCACTCGAACCAATTTTTGAAGCACTTATTCCACTCGTTTGCTGGCAGATCCAAAACGGCATTTTTGAGTGCGTCAACTGCTTCTTCTGGTGACTGGAACCTTTGACCACGCAGTCTGTTTTTAATTTTAGGAAAAGTAAAGGAATCGTTAGGACTTAGATCTGGACTATATGGAGGATGGTCCAATAATTCCACGTTTTCTTCCGTTAAATACTGCCTTGTTTTTTGGGCTGTGTGCAAACTTGCATTGTCTTGGTGGAGGATGATTCTTCTTTCGGGGTTGATTTTTCGAAGCTCGGTGATGACTTTTGGCAAACAAATGGTGGTATACCAATCCGCAGTAACAGTACTTTGCTCATTAAGAGGAATTGTTGCAATATGACCCGCTTTTGACACAAATGGCGCGACCATCTATCTACGGATGATTTTTGTTGGCTTTTCTTCACCTTGGAACACCCAAACAGCCGACTGTCATTTATTTTCTGGTTCATAACAGTAAATCCACGATTCATCACCACTAACAATGCTGTACACATTTTTTGAGTTTCCGGAATTGAAACGGTCAAGCGTTTTTTGACACCAATTAACCCTGGCTGCTTTCTGCTCTTCAGTCAACAGGTGAGGTATCCAACGAGAAACTAATTTTCTTACTCCTAATTCTTAATGTAAAATTCTTTGAATTGAGGTCTTTGAGATCTTCAAGGACGCGATATGCCATATGTCTATCTTTAATGATGAGTTTGCGCACAGCATCGACGTTTTCCTGGGTGACTGCCGTTGTTGGTGCACCCATCCTGGGATCGTCGCTAAGACTCACCCGTCCACGTTTGAATTCTTCATACCAACGAGAAATCGCCAACTGATGTGGCGCTTCGTTGCCGAAAACAGACAGTAACTCAGCAAGGCATTCTTATTGCGATAATTGTCTATGAAAGTTGTAACAAATTATGGCGCGAAAATGTTCTCGGCTGAGTTCCATTTTTCTAATGACTTGGTGACACTTAAAAATTCACTGTAGTGAGAACACTGCACGTATTGTTGTGAAACATTGAATTTAGGTTTACTAAAGAGTGAGGTTAAGATTCAGTACTGACTTTCGATCCGCGCGGTCTACTATGTTTCTATATGCAAAACTTAAAAGACATCCCTCGTATTTGTGGTTCCCTGGTCACTGACTGTTGCGACAACATACAAGCCAATCTCTTGTAACTCCGAAATGACTTCCACAATTATCTTCTTCAACTGAGTAGTACTTGTGGTATCTTTAACAAGATAAAATGCCACAACTTCTCATAACCATACATCTTTTGCTCACTGGCTAGTGAAATCCCTGACTCAGGCCTACTTCATCAAATATTAATGAGCAATTGCGATCAAGGTCATCCATATCCTGCACCTTTAGCTTCAGATTTTCAAAAACAGGCTTGATTACCCCACAATGGAAAGCAATGTTAGAAAACGATCAACGCCGCCTGCACCATACCAACGAATAGTTCCACAACCAGGAAATTTGCAACTGCGTGAATCTTTCTGGGAATCCACCATGGTTCAATCGGATCATCAACTAGATAAATAAAACCAAGACAAAAAATCTAACTCCAGGAACGAGTTTGATAATAAGCAGCCTAAATATTTTATTTGCACTCACCCAATACAAGCCATAGTTACGATTTGATGTTCACCTACAAAGTATTAAATATTAAAATAGTATTACCAAAAACTACGCTGTCTTCTAGGCCGCATCCATTGAAAAATAGAGGTTACAGTTGTTGGCACAAAACACTATATATTGCTGATACCGCGGGAAATTTTAAGACTGACAGTACATTGACAGTATAAAATGTCATACTTGTCTGTTGGTCGCCATTTTTTGAGGGTGCGACATGGTTGTCAGATTGTGTATTGGCAACACCGCTTTGTTTCCCATTCTCCCATATGAGTTTCACCCCCCTGAATGTAACCATGTGGCACCCAGAAAAAATGGCCATCGACACTGATATAAATCGCCCGTGTTGCCCTATGAATATAGCACGTGACTAAACCTTCTTTAGCAGTGGGGTGGCAACAGACTCGTGACGTCACCACGAGTAGGCCGGTCGGCCGGCCGACAGCACGGCGTGCCGTACATCAGCGCTAGTGAATAATATATTATTGCAGCATATTTAATATACTCTACTCTAATAACGGATAATTCAGAAAAGTGTTTTTGGTATATGAAGGCAACTTGGTGGAAAATATTAAAGTAGTTATTAACTATTTTCACCCTGATTTTCACTGATATTTTATCCAACATTACGTGCACATTAGATTAATAAGTTGATGTTATAAAAGCTTGCTAAAAATAAAAATTCTTCAATGAATAACCCCATGTTAGTCACAACCGATCTACAGAATTTTACAGGAATATGTGGACAGTTTACTATTATTATAGGCATAATATAATGGTACTTGAAAATTATATAAAAAATGTAGTGCTTGCAGAACAGTTGTGTCCACAAGAACCAACGAGGAGGTCTGAGGTAAGCTCTTGCCAGGAAAGGAATAAGGAAGATGAGGAGGAAAAAGTGTAGGATAAATGATAAGAAAAGCATATAAAATCAAAGTAAAATAAACAACAGAAAAAGCATAACAAAGATTAACGAAAACTTAATAAAAACCTCTTAGAACAAACAAATAACAACACAAAATAATATTAAAAATTAGAAAACAGAAAACAAGTACCAAAAATAACAAAAATTAGAATAACGAAAATTAAGGTGCTAAATTCCGAATATGTCCAAATAAACATTTATCTACAGCTATGTAAATGTTGCGGCCTCATGTGAATGTAGTCAATTTACGTTTCTTTGCTTTATTCGCGCTTGCAAAGCTGTCGTTCCTTTTGGCACAATGATTTTTCAAAAATGTATTGACTGTGCAAATAACAATTAGTTTTATAACATAATCTGGTGTATGGACTGTGCAACGCAAAAATGAAGTGTCGTGATTATTATCACTCAGATTGTTAATTATCAACTGAGAAAGAGCGCGTCTCTTATCAATGATTTCTAAACATCATTCCTCGTCACTTTACAAAACTTTATTGAAAATTATAAAACTGCGTGACAATATTAACTGGATCCTTTGAGAATTTTAAGCCACCTCTACTCAAATTCTGTATAATATTGTGCTTGTCTTCTATATCAATATCATCTGCGTGTGTCAAATTTTCCTTACAATGATTGCAGTGATTTTTCTTTAATAAGGCATAACAACAATAACCAGCTAAGTAGGTGATGACAGGGATTTCATCCTTTATAATATCAATATCAGACTGTAAAATTGCAGTTTCCCGGAAAAAGTGGTAATCATTAAAATTGGGTGGAATTTCATCTATTTCTGAATCATCGTTTTCACAGAATTTATCTATTTGTATATCACCATAGCGAGACTTCAATGACATCAGGCTTTTTCTCAGATTCATATAACTGACGAACTGATATATTATATTGACCCCCTGCCAGTTGACAATACTTACCAAATCTATTTTCCAATGAGTCAGTTTGAAATTTACCTAACAATATATATAATATATAATATATATATAATTACTGTGCAGTTCAGATTTACAGTACCTTAATAATTCCAATAAGCCATATACTGTATGATGTAGTGCAGTGTAACTCTGACTAGTTAGTCTTTTTGAAAATTTTGCTGGATCATTCTACTCTTCTAGCCAATCTAGCATGTTTTGCAAGAGTGTCAGCTTACTGTCATCACCTTGTCCATCACTGTTGGAGCAAACAATAGGCTCTGCATAAAGGTCATTTAACCGCTTTCCTTTCAATGGACTTTTTACATTGACAATTCTCCACCAAATCAATGAATTTTGTTGTCTCTTCGGAGTGCTGTATGTTTTTAACAAACCTTGACACTGCATCTATTACAAATGGGTTGAATATCTTGAGAGCTAAATGAACATTTTGTCTTTCAAGGTTGGTAGGATATAAAGCTTTTAGGGTCAAACCATAACCATTTTTCAATATTTTATGACATTCCATTTGGTACAATGTTTTAATCGCTTTACTATTCAGTGCATTATTATCACTTATAACACAAAACATTTTATAACCAAGTTCTTCTAATCCAATAATAAGTTTTTTTGTAATATTGTATAATAGATTATGATCAATTTTAGAAACAGGACAAATTTAATCAACTTCTTTAAAATTAGAGTAGAAGCTTGAAATCATAAACACATAGGCTGTTGTAGCTAATGAAGTAAAAATAAAGGTTTTTTGCATAGCCTAAAAAGTTATATCTGTCAGCGGGACCTGGATCGACCATCAATGTATTAGATATTGACTTCAGAGTATTTTGGTGTGGTAAAATAAGTGCTCCATGACTCCTAATAAATTTATATAAATGTGGACTGATTGTATACAACATAGAGCAAAACACTATTGTTTCTGATGAGTAACTGTGTCTGTTCTTCTGACCAGTAGCAAGCTTTAGTTGCTCACAAATAAATTGAATGACAGTGTGGGTCTCTTCATCAGTGAATTGTTCTGTGCTGTTTAAAATATTGTAAGCATGGTTGATAGTGGCTAGTTGAGTAACACTTCTTGGGAGTACATATACGTGTTTACATTGAGATCTTTATCAACAATTACAGAGTGTGTTATGATGGGTTTATATTCTAACTTAAACAAAGTAACTTTATCCGGAACAATTTTATGCCACCCATATGGACATTGCCATGAACCGAAAACTGTGAGAAAGAAACATAGCCGTGAAGATCGTTATTTCATTATTATTAACAGTAAGCAGATATTTTCTGGAGAAATTCGGTTTTGATTCGCGATTGCTTCTTCTCACTTGCTTTTTGTCTGCTGTCTTAACATACCTTGCTATGTAATCCCATTGTCTAGTATGGTCACCTATTCTCCAAAATTGCTCATACAATACCTTTCTATCTTCCTCACTGATCTTCTCATGACATTTATTTCTGCAGTTTTCTTTACAACGATCTTTTAGCTGTTTGGCGGGAATAACTTTACCTTTGCGTTTTTTATGTTCGACGCCCAAGTTTAATTCTTTCTTAGATCGGACTTCGACCCACTCGTATTTTTCACACGCTTTCTAACTCTCTTTTCTTTGGGCGCCATCTTACGCTTTTTACGAACCTGAGCTTGCTGAAGTTGGGTTTTGGCGTGATCAGATGTAGGTGGCAACTTAGATGAGTCAGAATCAGATGTTTCCCCAGGCATATAATCGGGATCAATGTCTGAATAATCTGAAGTGAATACTATGTTTGAAGCTTCTTTTTGTTGCGCTAAAAGAATTCATCAAACGCGTTAGGAAAAAAAAATAAAAATATGAGCTAAACTTACCTGAATTTAACGGCTCAGCAGCTACACTTAGCTTCCTTGCATTTTCCAGAATCATTCTTGTTCTTGAATTCATTTTTTTCACTCTAAAATGACTTTTCTCGCAGCTACTACTTAAAACGTGTGCATTATTATTCACCATAACCTCAAATTATGCCGCGAAAGCTATAGTAAGTCAAACATGCTATACCTTCCACAACTTTCTGCACCGAAGACTAAAGTAACTCAATTTGATATTGTTGTTCCCGCCAGCGGTAATGTCGGTTATTAGACTTACTATATAACGTAAAAGATTAACTGGTTGCCTATACCTTTATGACTGAGATACCATATTCTTCCACCAAAGAAAGCCTGATTATACCTATCGATACAATATAGTAAGTCAAAACCAAGGGTTTTTGAGTTACTATAGTCTTTGTTGCAGGGGTCGACATGTTGTTATTGAACAATAACATGGATGCCCACAGGGTGGTGTCGGAGGGGCCATGGTCTCTTCTGGGAATCCGCTTGAACTTTAATGTTTGCATATTTAGGATGCTTTTGGGTACAACTTTGAGAATTTTTTAGGATTTGTCCCCTCCTGAGAAAATTGTTTCCTCTGCTCATCAAAAATTTTGGGGGCAGGTACAATTTCACAAAAGGTTATCTCTTGATGATGATCAGCACCTCTGAGAAAAATCCCTGTGGGTACCCATGGACAATAATATTATTGTTCTAATAAAAAAGAAATCTGAAATTGTAGTAACATATCAACACAATTCAATTGTTTTCTAATTTTTTATTTATGATGATGATGATTAATGATGTTAATACTGATTTATTTGTAGAAAAATGTGTCAGATTTATATAATGAATATATATTTAGGTATTTGCAATATACGTTTTTCTTTTGAATCTCTCCAGATTAGTAAGTAGAGTGATCTTATAACAGCTTGTGTTATTGACGTTGCTATGTTAACATACAAAAAGACACTTATTCGACAAGATAGTGCAAAATGTTAATAGCACATGCTGTTATAAGATTTCCCATATCTCACCAAATTTCTATATTGTTCTATATTGTGTCGCCATTGAATAGCATGGAATTAAACCTTCTTCAGTGTATGATTTGTGTTCTTCAGTCTATATCAGTGTGGTGAAACTCATATTTGCGAATGGGAAACAAAGCAATGTTGCTGGTGCATAATACGACAACCATGTCACACCC